GACAATAAGAAAAATATAGAATATACCCAGACATATCCTTTAATCTCCAGATGAAGTACACAAATGTTTTAATGTTTTCCTTTGTCACAGGGCGGTAACTTGTTTCTGGGTGACTATGATGGACGTACACCCCTGCATATTGCCACCTGTGAGGGCCACTTCGAACTGGTGGAGTACCTACTGAATCATGGAGCTACAGTGTATGCTAAAGATCGCTATGGGGACACACCCCTAAGCAACGCTGTACGCTTCAGGTAAGACTCGCCTCATTTTAAACAATAGGGGCTTGTGTGTTTTGTTTTCATCTGTCTGTTAAAGTAATAATTTCATTTATGAAGTTGCAAAAACGACACTTAAAATTCCCATTTTGGCCATTAGCAACTATTGAGTGTTTCCTGAAAATATGTTGTTAATAGCTGCAATAGAGGGGACTTCATTAAATGAGCTGCTGCAAGGTAGGGAATCTGGCTCTGCTTAAATGACAGGAAAGAGCGAAGGCTGTCANNNGGGGGGGGGGGGGGGGAGACCAGGGGAGCAACTCGTAATGGAGTTTAGAGGCCAGGCAATAATTATAAACTAATTAGGCTAATTGTCATCTGACAGTTTAGACGGTGTTTATTTTTACCAAAGCTGTTTTTTAATTTTCGTCATTCATTGACATCGTTCTAAATGTCTTTCAGGGAAAAGCCACGCTTAATGTTTCAGTTTTAGTGCTATGTTGAGCCTCAGGGTGAAAACGTTGTATGTATCGGAGCTCTGCCAAATGGCTGTTGTCCTATTTTAACGGTTGGCACTGCAAGTATGGACTTGTCTCCTTTTGTGATGGTAGAGGGATGCATTGAAATGCTAACACCTGTCTATGCTGCACACCTTGGCTTGCTTTGGTCTTCCTAAATGTATTTAATGAAATCACACTAAGTAATAGAACTTTAGTTTTGAGTTGCTGTCAGGATGTCTGACGCACCTTGAATGCCACTAACGTTTCACAGCGGACAACAGCCTGATGCCCATATAAGGAGTGGCAGATAAAAAAGGGTTAAACAACAAATATGGGGAGTGTCCTCTGAACCAGTCCTACCGACCTGCTTCCAGTTTCACAGATGAGAGATACTGGGTTCTTAACGCTCTACAGGAAGTCTTCTTTTAATAGTTTCTTTGGCTGTAGCGCTACGACAATTAAACAAACAATTAAGCATCAAATTGAACTATTGGGTCACTTATTACATAGAAAGCTAAGCTCTTCTTTATAAACTCTAAAGCTGCTCAGTGGTGTACAGTTCCAGGCCTTTTGTTTGATTGTTCATTTCCTGTCTACAAATGTCACTGCAGGTAACTCCTGCGTGGGTGGTTCATTGCGGGGACAAGGAACTTGTTCTTACATGCCAAACTAAAAACACTGCCACTCTGACTGTCAATGAAACTCCAAATTATTGTTTGAAAACTATTATTATTTATTTATGTATTTATTTATTTGTATTATTAAGAATGATTATCAGGTGATGATTTCAGTATCTGCTGGTTTTTAACTGAGTGATACGCTAATGACATATTACATGTACAGTAATGAATATATAACTCTACTGCATGTCCTCTAACTCAGGCACAAGGAGGTTGTGAAGCTGCTGAGAAAGACTGGAGCCCACTTTTCCAGAGACAAGTTGGAGGAAGCAGGAACAGAACTGTGCAGGTGAGAAACACAAAAAGCACGTCTTTGAAGAACTGCACACATATACGGTCCCAAATGTCTCAGCCATCCGCAGTGACCCATCCTACATAGCTGACACAGGTACAACCAGTTGTCCCACTGTTACACAAACTGAAGGAATGCCCCCTTGCAGCATTGCTTCAGATCTGTTCTTCACGTCGGCAAGTATACGATATGCCGGCCAGCCCCTGTTAGTTATCTGCTCGACACACTCGACAGGTTTTGTCAAGACAGTTCCAATTTGCAGTTTCAGAAACACGCCTTTTGTCAGGTATGATAAGAATAGCTTGTGTGTCTGTTCATGTAAAAGGAAAACATGTGTGAGTCATAAAGCCTGACATTATTGATTCTTTTCCCTTCCCTTGATGTGCTGCCCAAGTTTCGGACAAGTCTCTTTACACAACTTATCCTTCACCCAGTGTCTGTTTGATATTTTGGGGAACGGGGGGCCTTTGCCATAATAACTCCTGTGTGTCAGCCTGGCAGCCAGTGGTGACCTGGAGGGCCTGGAAATCTGGAGCCTTGCCGGAGCTGATCTGAATGAAACGGGCTATGACGGACAGACAGCAATTCAAGTGGTGGGTTCTAGGGACACGTATTTCACTTTAACACTTTTTACTAAATAAAGTTAAACCACTCATTCATTCTTATTATTCATTCTTTTAAATGTCACAGGCCCAGGCTTGTGGCCAAAAGAAAGTGGTGGCCTTTTTAGTCCAACTCATGAGCACAAGATCCAAGGTAACTACTATTTTCCATTCTAGCTGCTTTATATCTCTTTTTTACCACAGCTTTACCTTAATTTGCACTGGTGTAAATTTCTGTCAATAATTGCCTCTCAATTGCATGTTTGTCTTGTTTAATTTCAGACAGTATTTGATGGATTTAATGAGTATGATGATGATGATGATGATAAGGTAAATGAAATGTATTGAACATGTTCGTTTTCTGATTTGCACTTCTCTCATATTGAGCATGAGATTCCAACCCCCTCCCTTAGCATGCTGCTTTAGCTCTCCTTCATCTTTGCGTACGTCCCCTTGTGCCTATCAGTCTATCCCTCCATTTTATCTCCGGCTCAGGGTTGTGGTTTCACTGTCCCAGAATGCAGTGCGCAAGCAGCAGGTTGCTCCCCTGCATAGGTCACAGTCTATCAGAGAACTAAAACACACATATACACAACAAACACTTTGAGGCAGTCTGGCATTTATGAGCTGCCAATTCACCTGGTGCCCAGAGGAAAGCCTGTGCATACAAAGTGAGAACATCAAACTGCACAGAAAGGGCTCAGTTAGACTTTAAATCAAGGACCATCTTGTTTTTAAATATATTTTAAATAACAAACATATGAGACACAGCAAAGATTTCAAAAAGGATTTCAAAGGAAAGTGGGGGAATACTGGTATTATTGTTGAGCAGTGAGTAAATTCTATCAACATATGCCAAAACCAAACTCAACCAATTTCACAATATACCAGTGTGTATTTAAAGAATACGCTTTCAAATTCATAATAGCGAAAGCGTACTGATACCTGAATTCATACAAATAATTAGATTGCCCTTATTTGGCACTAGGTGCGACAACAAGGTGTGCTATTAGTGGGTTGGGGGAAATACTGTGCAGTGTGCTTGAATCATACTAATATAACATGTGAAAGTCACGGACCATTGGACGCATGTTGAGGATGGCTGTAGTGGCTTGGGAGAATGGAACAGACAAAGGATATTCCTTTGGTAGGTAGCGTCAGTTCAACGTCCTGCCGGAGAGGCAGAGTGAACTCCGATCTTCCACCGTTCTGCACAGAGACAAAAGAGACAGGATTAACATGGAGCCATGGGGAGGTCAGAGGTTGTGTTCAGCGCTATTGACTTACTAGTGAGGCGCACACAACACACACACACACACACACACATACACAACAGGTCAGCCTAAGGAAGCAGGCTGCACAGGTTTAGTGTTTCACAGGCAATTTGCAGGCAAAAGGTGATCAGATTATCAGCAAGTGATGAAAGCTCTGAGGTTACGCTTAGCTTAGAATTTCAAAAGGCAATGGTGCTTCTCCAGAGCTAGGCACTACTAATTACTTCATTTTTCAGTTCATGTTATTGTGTTCGATTTATAGACTAAAATGATACGAAAGGAACCAGTTAAATTCCCCAGAAACTGATTTACATGCTATTTCAAAACTCACCATTTAGACTGGAGCCAGTAAGAGGTTGACATTTTACATCTTATATTGTAATTACAATTAATATAATTATACTATATATTATAGAAAAATAAGATTTGTCAAAATGATTTTTAGCAGTCAGCTAATTAATAACTGATAAACACCTTTTTTTTTTTTTTATTTTACAAATTGTAGTC